AATACACTACACAATACTCTTTCAAAATAAACGTACTACCTCGGTACAATATCGCAAACTGACGTTTTCTTCCCTCAGCAACAAACGCACGTGGTTACGTTTAGCAAACACACAGGTTTAGGCAGCAAATGCACGTGGTTGGGTTTATAAAATAAACAACAGGGTTTGGCTTTACATTCAAATGGAAAGCAAACATCGGCCTCTCAGGTGAAAGTCGCTTGTTGTTGGACCTATCCACCACCTGTCCCACCCACCCTAGTCTGACATTTTGCTCCCTTAGCTTAAGTTGTTGTCTAGCTGCGTTTCCCCTGATGCCTCCAGGCACCATTAAACAATAGCAGTGACCAGCTACATTTCATGTAGACAAGAAAGGACAGCTTTTTTGTCGGTATGTGATGATACCACGTTGATTTAACTCACCTGTTTAAATGTTACTAAAGCTCAAAGTCTCCTCCCTTTGGGGTCGACGTGACATTGGATAACTCACCCATCTTCCCTAGAGAGCAGGTAAAGAGTAACGAGCTGGGGAGGGTGGTAGGGGACGGCAGGAACCCAGAAAAAAAGGCCTCTCTATATTTTGTAGGCTTTGCTATGCAGTTATGGCCTTATGTAATATTCAAAAATAATAGTAGTAATAGTATAATAGTAATAGTAAAAAATAGTGAAAGATAAACATTTAGATTTTTTTTCTTCCCCCATTTGTGGTGCTCCCAATGGATGATGGCACCCTTAGCATTCGCCGATACTGCCTATCCCATGGGCCGGCACTCGGTGGGTGTCTGTTGCTAAAATGGCAACAAAGTTGGTTGGATAACATAAATATGGCATACCTCGAGCTTCACAGAGTAGGCCTACAGGCGTAACTGTAGCTGTCGCTATTTCCATGTGTTTTCAGGTAATGAAAGTTAATTGTGACATTTTGGTCACTTAAATAAGTCATAGTTGGTAACACTAAAAGACTTTCTAAGACAGTGGTTCTCAACCTGCAGTCCTTGAGGGAGTTCCTGGTCGGTCCCTAAAAAAAATGGGGAATAGTTTATTTTCACTATTCAGTTCACTATAGAAGTGAGTCCAGTGTGATTACGAGTCATAAGAGTGACTAATGTGGTCATAGGTTTCACTTCCTTCAAAATTCACTCCTGTTTTCACAGGAAATTTAACATTTACATACAGTCTCTTTCAAAATAAATGCAGTATGTTAGTACAACAACGTGAATTGACATTTTTTCCTCCAACAACAAAAGCACATGGTTGGGTTTAGGAAAAAAGAACAGGGTTTGGCTTTAGAATCTTACAGGACACAAACACCTCTCTGCTGGGTGAAAGTCAGTGTTTGTTGGACCCATCCCACGCGCCCTACTTGAACTTTAACCACCTTAACTTTCGTTCTTGTCCCACTGCATTTCCCTGATGCCACCGATCACCACTAAACTATAATGGCGACCAGCTGCATATCATGCCAACGTTAAAGGACGGCTTTTTACGTCACTGTCTGACGCCACAGGTCACTGCACAAGTGCCGGATTCGGAGTGAGACCGGGTTAATATAAGAGTGAGACAGTCCACATTAGATGGACAAGAATGGAGGTGGATTGGTCAATCAAACTTCAGACTTTCACCCAGGAGACTGCTGTTTGTGTCTCATTTGAAATCAAAAGTCAACAAAGTGATTTCTTGTGCTACTATATGAAACATACTATGCTAATGACATATGTCCCATAGCGTTGCATTGGGTTTGTGACAAACTTACCTATTTTAGAACCATGATGTTTTTTTTTTACTTAAGTTCTAAGTTTATTTTGAAAAGAGACATGGATTTAATGAGTAGCAAATGTCCATTTCCTGTGAAAATGGAAGCTTATTTTGATAAGACACAATGCATGTAATTAGTGTTAACTGACACACCATCCCTGAATATCCAAAACTTCCCTGAAAATCCAAAATGCTGGAAGGATACCTAGAGAATGACATGTAGGGCTACTGACCAAGTGTCAGTACTTGACGTGTTGGGAGTGAAACTGTGTTGATATAAATGTCTGACTGTTTTGAATGAGAAAGAAGAAAGGGGATAACATTATGACAGCTGCAAGCATCCACCCCTGCAGCCCACTTTTTTTGGCAGGAAGTGAGAATCAGAGGAGAGAAGAGCAGCAGCTGTATTGTTTACAACCCAAAGTCACCCACACAGTCCTGTCTCCCAAAGGAGAAAGGAAAAATGGAAGTCTCCTTGTGTTTCCTGCTGGGTTTTTTTCCCCTGCCCAAGAGACAGCGCTCACAGCCAGCCACATCTCTTCCAGTAAGCTATAATTATCACCAAACTGCCGCAGATTACTGGAGGAGGGAGAGAGTGGGAGAAACGGCGGCGAGGGGGTTTCGAACAATGGCTGAGAAAATGATAGGCTTGATATTGAGGTCACATAATAAAGGCAAATAGAGCCTAAATGAGTTGATTCTGCAGCGCACAAAACATTCCCCGTGCCCAGGCAATGGAGACAGAGGGGGTTTTGTCCGTGGCTGCTATTAGCATTTAGCACAAGATGTGCTGCTGGTAATTACATTCGCCATTGAACTTGAATGGTTTGAAAAGACAGAGCAGAGAAAATGAGAACCGTTGTTATCTGTCTCTGTTGTGCTCTTGTAATGAAATTGCTGGTGATTGAATTAGGAACATGATGAATGATTTTTTTTGTAGTGCCATAGCCTTCGGGGCAATGGGCAGGCGTGACCAAATGGGCTGCGGGCCATATTTGGACAGCTTTGGGCCAAATGGTGCAGGGTTTCCACACAGCTCGTGTGACACGGCGAGGGGTGAGAGATCAGAGATGTTATGAAAAATGATCTGAGAGGGATTGTGTTGGTGCTGAAATGAAAAACATATGGCTCTGTGGCAGTGGATATACACAGGCAATCATGCAGACAATGAAACTCAAACACGGACTGACACATATAGGTAAAGCAAACATAAACACACCCACTCGCTTCATGCAAAACCTCAGCACATTTGGAAGCAGTTTGACGCGCCACCGTCAACCATCCAATCCCCTTTAGAGTGTGTATTTCTCAATCACCTTATCAATCCTTTCAGCTACCACCCCTCTGGCACACTTTCTGCCACACACAATAACAACATGTTTTGCTAGGACGAATGATGCAGCCCCTCCCCCTGCCCTCCAATCACCAGGTATTTCTGGATTCTCATTGGTCACCTGAGGAGAGGGATTGCAACACCCCCTGAGGGCTCAGTGACCTCCGCTCCTGGTGTTACTCCAAAACATCTGACGAATGAAAGCTTCACCTGGAGCATTCGTGTAGATAAACACACACACTGTACAGATCTAATAGACTGTACAGCTCGTCCTGTTTCATACAAGCTTGCATTTTCTGCAACTTGTTGGACTTTCAGTTCTCTGAGCCATCTCACGTGAACATATTTTCCAAAACAAAGTATCCAGAAGTTATTGTGTGTGTGTGTCTGTGTGTCTGTGTGTGTGTGTGTGTGTGTGCATTTTTGCACGCATGTACACTTGGACAGCAACCTATTCGATAAAAACATCTCCAGGCTACGTAGGTGTGAAGCTTTGTTGACACTCAGATGCCCTCAGGGTTAAGAATACAGCCTGAAGTTATTTTTATCAGGATTCACCTGGGAGTGTGAGGCAACACAACTCTCATAGGAGCTATATGTGTGTGAGAGTGTGTGTTCTGGGGCATACCATGAGGTGAAGGTACAAGTTAAACCCACACACCTGCATCCCTTTTATGGAAGCGAAAACACTCAGCAGACAGTGCAGGGTTTGTACAGCAGGAGGAAGCTGTGAAATACCGTCACCTGCAGCGTATACAGTTGGCTTGGCAGGATCTCAAAGTATGCACGCACAAATGGTAAAGCAACACGGCTGCCATTAGTGGACAGTGTTTGCTCAGTCTGCTCTCAACTCTGAGGTCTTTTCCAGTCAAAACAGTTCTTGTGTGGAAACCATTTAATCTTGTGTGTTAGAAAATTATTAACAAAATAAAACCGCCATGAAAGCACCACCACATGACATACATACATAGCATACACAATGTACTGTAATAGCTTGTATTACAGACTAGTTATTATATGCCAGTTGTGTGTTTATCATGTGTGTCTGTCTGTACGCAGCTATGCAAACTATTAGTCCAATCAGCCTAATATTTTGTGTGCACATTTGTGACTGTACGCTCAAGGATCTTTCATGATTGCAGTGATTAGAAAAAGAAATGTTTTATTGACTGTTTTTTCATCACAGACTGCCGACTCCTCACTCCTCTTTACTGCCCAGCAGGGACCGTGAGTTTACCAAAACTCATTCCAGTCAAATTTTGGGCTTTGTCACAGCTCAGAAACTGACATCCATTGAAACTTTGGTCTCATTTTGAACCAGAGCATCTGCATTTTAATTCCATTGCCTATATGTTATGATTCACTTAAATAAGGCTCCTTACGAGATACATAAGTGGACTGTTTTTGTTATCATGTTGATTGTAAGGGAGCCAGGAGGGACAATTTCACCAGGCGCAGGTCTGCTGCATCCCAGCTGCCATGGCCATGAACTGGTTTTGTTCTGTCTGCCACACAGGAGCATTTCAGAGGGGTAGTCTTGCAGATTTTGTATATTTGCTCATTTTTTCCTGATACAACATGCTAATGTTTTTAGCACAAGCCTTTGGCATTTTACATTGTACAAATTAGCCTAGCGGCTAGCAAACTTCCTCTACTCATATGAAGTCAGGGACAGCAGCAACATTTAACAAAGGTCACAAAAAATTGGACTCTATTACAACTCACAAGGTTCGCTGACAACACAACTGTCTTATACTGAACACGTTTTCCAAACAAATATAACATTAGCACAAACCAATGGCATTTTACATTGTATAATATTGTATTGCCTAGCTGCAAACAAGAGATTTCCTCTGCTCATATGAAGCCAGGATAAATCACACACAAGACTTAAAATGCTATTTTTTGTGGAGGCTTTATTGTTTCTTATCTGTGGAGCAACAGAGCTCCTGCAGCGTATACAGTTGGCTTGGCAGGATCTAAAAGTATGCATGCACAAATGGTAAAGCAACACGGCTGCCATTAGCGGACAGTGTTTGCTCAGTCTGCTCTCAACTCTGAGGTCTTTTCCAGTCAAAACAGTTCTTGTGTGGAAACCATTTAATCTTGTGTGTTAGAAAATTATTAACAAAATAAAACCACCTGTAGTAGCTTGTATTACAGACTAGTTGTTATGCCAGTTGTGTGTTTATCGTGTGTCTGTCTGTACGCAGCTATGCAAACTATTAGTCCAATCAGCCTAATATTTTGTGTGCACATTTGAAATAAATGGGGGACTAAACTAGGGCTGAGGCTTACCGTGGTGAAGAGGCTATTGATGGTGTGGAGAAACCCCAACCAAAAATATAAGCACCCAGACACTTGTGACAATCACACACGCACACAGTGAGGAGACCCAGAACCCAGGGGAGCACAGCACACGAAAAGGGGGGGGAACCCCGCCACCAGGTCACCACCACCGGACCTCAGCAACTAAAAGGGAAACAAAGGGGAAATTAGTGGGGTCACACCAACACAATTCAATAAACAGAAATATCCTAAACAAAACAGGCCATTGGCAGGCAATATAAATCATAAACTAAACAAAAATACAAACTGCCAACAGCCAAATAAAGAAAAGACAAAAAAAAAAAAAAAAAATTAATCCTCTGCCAAAACAAAATATCAAAGCCAAAGAAATTAGGGAAATCAGACAAACAGGCAGAGGGAACTGAATACAGTAACCAAGAAAACAAAACCAATCCACCACAAAAAGGGTTTAACCCCACTCCTCAGTCGAGCTTCGTTAAAATTGAGTAAATTAAATGGTCGGTAAAACGTAATACCAAGGCGTACAACGCAGGCAGGTCAACCAAAACGAGTAGACAAACAGGTTAAAGCAAAACAGGACAAAAAGTAAAGCAAAAAAAGGAAATCAAACAACAAAAAAAACTAAGCAGCCGCGGTGAAAAGCAGCAGCTGTGAGAAACAGCGATCCAAAAGCAGCCGCAAAAGAAGCAGCAAAAAGCAACAAAAAGAAAAAGCAACAAAAAGAAAAAGCGACAAAATGAAAAAGCGACAAAATGAAAAAGCGACAAAATGAAAAAGCAGCAGCGAAAAGCAGAAAGCAAAAACAGAAAACAAAGCAGCAGCGGTCCCCTGTAGCTGGTGGTGATGTGTCGCTTTACACCCTGGCCGCAAACCCAGTCAGCTGGTGCTGACGTCACTCACGCACCATTAGCAGAGGGATCTGAGGACCCGATAAATTTATTATCTATAAATTTCGCATGTGCATACAACAATTGGGAATGCAGGAAGCTACATACCAGTTAGCAGGTCGACCAGTATGACACACACACCAGAGGAAGAGGGAGAGGGTAACGCGCAGCTACCGGCGTCCACCTACAATCAGGCTATTGTTAGCCGCAGTCATTATCAGCTGTGTAACAGGCAGAGAGGGAGACACTCACCACAGCAGGCCATTTAGGTGACACACACACGAGCCTGGGAAGCACCAAGTCAGCCACTCTGCAACACAACACAAAATCATTAGCTCCCCGCCACATGAGCCGAAAGCAGCAGGTGAGCAGACAAGCCGCGTTACCTGTCCGAAGCAAAACGTCCGGCTCGGAAATGACATCACCCGTCGGAAGCAGCGAGAGAGAAAGAACTGGCAGGGAGGGATCGCCCCTTTTATAGGTGGGTGCGCCTCCGGTGGTTGGCTGTGCCATTGCCAATTAGGCATGGCAACCCACAGGTCTCTGTACTGCCACAGTATCAAGTTTGTAAAAAACACACTTTATGTTGAGGTACATTGAATATCTGGCACAGAGCTTTTATATTTAAGTGCTGTTTCTTGCTGTAGAGTGAGTGAATAATGGACCGCTTCTGCACAGAGACAGCAAACTAGCTTGAAGACATGACCAAACGCAAGTATGATGCTGAATATTTCAAAATGTGTGGACCTCAAACTAATGACTACGGTGAAATCTGGACCCCGTGTCTGGACCAGTTGGGAACCACTGGTCTAGAGTTGCCGTGATTAGTTCGAGTGGTCGCACAGCTGCCCCGCAGAGACCTGCACTCTACTGAGTGCCCTTCTCCTGTTACAGTATACAACACAAGAGAATAAAAGCCTCTTATGAGAGGTCTCAGATGGCCACATGCTGTTACCTATAACACCTTGCATCATAATCTGATCCTTGTACCTCCCCCCATATGAAATGCAATAAAGGATCAGAAGACAATAACAACTTCAGTCAGAAGACAGGCAGTGGTACAACAAGAGGAAATCCTTGCAGCATCCTGATCAGTGTGAATCCTTTGACAAGGCTCATATTCTCTGTTTCTTATGCAACGTGTGTTTATGGAACATCACCATTATAATGTTAAAAGTTGTTGTTTCTGAAGTTAAGAATTTCAAACAGTTTCTTGTTGAAGTCAGATACAGAAGTGATGAAGATGGTCACAAGGTGTAATTTACTATGCTCCAGGAGTTAGACTCTAAATGAAAACCATGTCAAAAGCAATGCAGCGCTGTGAGATTTCACATTCTTTCAAGCCCACAGCTAACATGATTATACATGGCTGTGACGGGAATCTGCACGCCACTGTAAACAACAGAAATTAGGTTCAGATTCAGTAAAACGACTCTATATGTTTATGTTTTTTCGGGGCTTTAAAAGAAAAACAGATAAATGAAAAATTGGCAGTGTGATGATTTTACATTCACAACTGTGAGTCAAACGTACCACTGGTATATAATTCAATATGCTGATTATGTTGCTAGGATGCAGCAAAGGTACAATACACAATATGATACCTCTCTCTCCACATATGGGCTTCATCAACACTTCGCTTACAGTGAAACCACAAAGCAGGGCCGACCCGTGGCGAAGGACCCCACCCTGGTCTGGGGGCTCCCCTGCACACATCTCTTTCACAGTCCACATGGTAATGTTTCTGAGGTTACATGCAAGGCCGCTGGTGTGGAAACTGGTGCAAAGCTGAACAGTATCCAGCTTGACATGCACGCAGACAAACTCTGTATGAGGTGTTTTTATCTTAGAGGCTGATTCAGTCCACCAGCTTTTATCTGTGGTGGAGCTGTTTTCGGTTCTTGTGATTTCCTGTGCCAATCACTGCAGTTCACATACCACATAGTAACCTTTTATTAGGCAAGTGGGTAATTCTGTCATTCTTAAGTCAGCAGAAAATGACAAATATTAATTTTAACATGTTCTTCCTTGATTTTAGGATTCTAAAAAGATGTTTTTGTAAACAATTCCACTCAAAGGCCACTGCAGTTAATCATCTTAGAACTTTTAGAATGCTTTTTCTTATCTTCTGTAATATATAATGTTTTATTGAAGGATATTTACATTAACGTGGCCATAGTTTCAAATAATAAGGTAAACAAATGTAAAAGTAATCATTGAGAGCAAAACCCTCAGAGTTTCCGACAAGCTGACGTCAACTCATGATGGATTTCTTCATACAATCATCTGCTCCAGGCATGCTCCTGCAAAAGTTTACATTACCTACACTGCCACACGTACATAATCTTAGTTGCTGATGTTTGTAATTTCGCCTCAGTTTTGGATCATATTCCTGCTGGAATCTGTGCAGTTGTGGAGGTTTTGCTTAAGAGCAGTGGTTCCCAACTGGTCCAGCCACGGGGTCCAGACTTGTCCTTAGTCATTAGTTCAAGGTCCACACAGTTCCAGCATCATACTTCTGTTTGGCCACGTCATCAAGCTAGTTTGCCGTCTCTGTCGAGTAGCTGTCGGTTATTCACTCACTCTACAGCAGGAAATGGCACTTCAACATAAAAGCTCTGTGCTACAAACTTGACACATTCATGAGTCACTTGCAGTCCATTCAGAATGACTTACTTTTGGACTGCAAGCCACAACTTGGGAACCACTGATTTAGAGGCGTTAGTTGTTGAAGCTTCATGGTAGAAAGTGCCACTTTCTTCTGTTACAGTCATTCCCCCACTACAGTGACGGTGAGATACACAAGACCCAGAAACATTGACTAATCAGAGTAGACGGGGCTGTTTCGGGAGGGACTCTCAAAGAGACAGGTGCTAACAATTCATTCAGTGGTTTGTATAATATCAAATGAATTAGCGCCCGTACCAGTTAGGTTAAGTTAAGGTTAAGAATCATGGTTGGCTGTCGTCACCTTACGTACTTGACATAAAGTTCCATACTTAAACTAACGTGATGATGTACCTTAAAATTAATGTTCAGCTTGTTTCACATGGGATACAAACACTCCTGGGGAAAGTCGTGTGTGTGTTTGATCCATCCACCACCCCAACCTGCCTCCTTATGTGGACTTTAGGTCTGCATCCCATTTCCCTCTTTAGGAAAATGCAATGGCTTTTTTATACATTAAAGTAAACATGTTCTGGGAGGAACCCAAAATACACTTATGAACCTGGAAATGAGCATAATAGGTCCCCTTTTAGAGTATACAACAAGAATCATGCCACATACCACCACATTTATAGACTAATGAACTTTCCAGTGTTTCTAACCAAATTATCATTGCAGCATACTAAATGATCATTCAAGCAAACTCAGGGAAAGTAAGGGTGAAGACAGAACATGCTATTCTTTCAGGTAGATTTGATGAAGCTGACAAAGTCAGTCCTGTTTTTGGCTAATTTCAAGAATTTCATTGGCACTGAAATTTATGGTTACTGATTGTTATAACTTTCCCTTAAACAGTTCAATTTTTATGTCACCTAGGACCATTAAAAAGACTGCAGTCTGCCCTTCTACTGTGCAAGAGAAACGCATTTCCTGGCTCAAAACGTAGTGAGAATACACTGTGACAACATCCCCTCATCGGAATGACGTTCAAGCAGCTCAGAATAGTACTGTTTATAATTCTGCATCTGCTTTTATGGTACGTTGTTCTTAAGTATGTGTTTTGAAGCAAAGGGCATGCAAAATGCAAATTGATGCAATGACATTTATGAGGTGGCTGTATTTATGGAGAAAGGCTGCACCGGCTTGCTAGAAAAATATATGTGATTTTCTGCTCTCGCTGCTCTCTTAGTACTAGCTGGCGTAGTTATGGCTGCGTGAGTGAGCATGTAATCATTCTGATACTTGTTATGCCACATATATATGTATAACAGTGTGATAACTCTTGTCTAAGTCATTGATTTGGTCGGAATAGTAACTCCCATATCGACTCCAGTGGGGTTGTTGACAGGCAAAAAGCCATCCAGCTCTCACCATGATGATGTTGATCTCTCACCTGCTTTCCTTTATAGCCTCTAGAATAAACAGAAAATGAATGCATATTATCATTTCTGTCGCTTAATGCTGGTGATGCAAACGAGATAGTCATTGGAATGGCAAGTGCACTGATGCCCTAAAGCACTGTGCATTACTCCAGAGACATCACAGCTCGCACAGTGATAGCTCAATCAGGGAAAGCAGAGGAGGGTGTCGTCTGGACTGTAGACGCACTGTTGCATAATGAATGAGGCAGACTTTGTGGTCATGGGAGTGAAAGTCCATCAGCTACATTAACAATATTCAGCCAGACAGCTTTTATATGCTCTAATGTCTGAATGCATGGCTTACAAACTGGGGTAGAGACTTTGAGTGCACAAAACAAAAAGTCTGAGAATGGACTTTTGTCCAAATGGTGCCCTGCCACAAAAAGTCAAAAGCCCTTTTTACACAGAGATCCCATGATAGGGCAACAACAAAGACCCTTAATTATGCCGGCTTTTTTTCTTTTTTGCTGCCACTCTAGTGTGATATATCCTCCTGAGACCCTGTGTCCTCATATGAAGACACCACATTTAGGGTTAATTGACCCTATACTTCATTCAATCTAACCTAGACCTGTTGTCCTCATTCGTGGACACTTTATGTGCCATCTAGTGGTCATAAGAGCACAATACATTAATTCATGTAAAAACAAGATCGCAGCCATCTCTGCCAAGTCAGTCTGCAGCTGATCCCGACACCAAAGTGGACAAGGTCCAAAACCTGATCAAATTTTATGGTTGGGACTTGTTTATTTCTGATGAATAATGTTTGTAGTTTGATATGGCAACAAATTTGACCAATTTTAGAAACAGTAACAAGCTAAGACTGTTAATTAGGAAGTAATCATTTGAAGACATCGGGACTTTACTGTTGCCTTGTTTGAGGACATTGGGACTTTACTATCGTTGACAATGTTTCGTTTTTTTTATACTTACTGATCCAGAATAGCTAGGAGAAATTAAAAACACATACCAAACAAAAGCTTGGGTCTTAGGAGGATATCACATACACATCAGGCAGCACTTCTTAAAGAATAATAATGGCATAAGATGGCAGTAACAATCATTTATTGTCCCTGCTGTATGGGAGTTTAAGGGTAAGGAGCTCCTGGACCTTACTGTCTTCCCAGTTTGCAGACATTTAAAATTGCCGTTTTTATTCTTGGAGTTAGCTGCTAACTGCTTCTAGCTGCTTTTTAAATCTCCCAACAGTGGATGGCACACATAACTAGTCATCAAAATGTCACATCCGTCCTGTCCTGCTTGCTATCCCATTGTTAGTACCTTTGCTGCTGGCTTAAAGACGAGACAGTTCGGCCACCCCACTGCGCGATCATACCTTTCATACAGAATGATGAGGCGAAACA